TGTTGAGACTTTGCAACCATTCTGCTTTGCCTTGTTCAGTAATGCACCTCTTCTACATAAATACAACTCTTAACGAGGAAGGTTATGATATATCTTACCCATTATGGAACCCACCATGCTTTTATGCTTTTATTCAAAGCTAAAGAAGATTATTGGTGTTTGGTAGATCTCTAAATTTGTGATTTGGCTGTGCCCCTGGTGGTCTTATATGTTTCACATAATAAGTTGACTATGAAATAAATTTATTGATGCTTTGAAATACCTTTTTATTGACAGTTATTGATATAATATTTTAGATCCATAATGACCTTCTTAGTTTTTTGTGACTAGGTTTCTAGGTGACTAGGTTTGTTGTTAAAAATGGCTGAAATCAAGTACGCTTAGAAATTTTTCTCCAGCTCCTAGCAACAATCATAAAGACCATTTCTGCTTTATTTTTGCTGAATCAGCAGAATTTCACATTTAGCAGAAACTTCTTTTGCATCTAAAATGGAATCAAGATTGTAGAGTCATCTTAAGTTGGTTGATCTGTTAGTTCAATTGCAAAGTATGGTATCATCATCATGACATATTTTTAGAATAATTGGTTTTCACAAGAAGGGATATCTACTTTTTTGGTGTAATCAATTTATATCATGGCCAAGGCAACTATTTCTGATCCTTGTTTTTTTCTAGATTTCAACAATATTACAAAAAATTAGGATTTCAAGATGCCAAAGCCAAACACAGATGTCAGCTCCATGTCACCAAATGCAATGCAAGTGAGCGAACATAGGGAATTCAAGGATGACATAAAAGTTCATAAACTAGATCACATGGCAGAATTTACAAGGAGTCTTACTGCTGACGCAAAAGCAGCTGTTGCTCTTGGATCTTGTTTGGATATGAGTGCTGCAAAGAAGTTCGTAGAGATTATAGAAAGATGTGATGGAACTCTGATAACTTCTGGCATTGGTAAGTAACAAAGGAAAGCAAGCGTCAACAGCTAAAAGGAATTTATAAATTTGGAGAGAACAATCTAAAGTCACACCTTTTTGTTGTTATACTGATTAAACCTTTGTTGTTATACTTGAAAAAACTAACAATAGGTTTCCACACATTATTGGTTTGCTTTTACGAGACTTTGTTAATAATTTGAGATAATTTGAGTTCTGAGCAAAGTGGTTTGACTTACTATTCTTCCTCATATATCTTAACAGTAAATGCAAAGTCCATAAGACTTGGAAAGTTTTTTGCTACAGATCTCTGAATTGCTTTATTGTTTTGTTTTTTTATATTGTTATGATAGTGTCTCTTAATAGTCCCCCTACACTTCTTAGTTTATCTAATCTTGATGGTTAAAACTAAATAAGGTTAGCATAAATAATAGAAATAAAAAGTGGAACAATGCTTGAAGGAAAAATTTAAACACTCATTTTATTGCAAACATTTAGATATAAATATAAATTAGATATAAATTTAGATATAAGTATTTTAAGCATATGAAAGATGGGTTATATATAATATTGTCAATCATTTTTCATGTAGGAAAATCTGGAATAGTTGCAGAAAGAATGGCTGCATCACTGTCCTCAACTGGAACACCTGCCCATTATGTGCATGGTGCTGAATGGACCCATGGAGATCTTGGTAATTTATCCCTTTGCTTTTAGTTCTATTTGTACAAGTCTAGCAAGTTTTGGTGCAAGGCAAGTACCAAGCCATTTCTTTCTCATCTACTATAGCATAACACTAATTATCACTGTTTTTGTTTTTAGGGAAAGCACGCAGAGGAGATGTCTGTGTGTTCTTTTCGCACAGCGGTAACACAAAAGAGTGTGTGTTTGCTTCACAAGTTTTGAGAGAAAGAGGTGTCCATATTTTAGCAATCGTTGGCAAGCCAGATTGCAACATGGCAAAAGTTAGTGATGCTATCCTTACATACCAAGTAGACCACCCTCTAGAAGAACCAATTGGTGGAGTACCAACAACAAGTGTCATGCTACAGGTATGGGTTTACTTATGTGATTTAGTATACAATAATATTTAAGAACTCAGAGTTTGATAATGACAAATCACTTTTAGTATTAACATCAAATTTATCCCTGTCTGTGCAATTCCTTTTAGTTTCTACTATACTTTAGTCTCAATTTTATCAAAGGATTCTTTTTGTTGTGTCTTGTATAATTTGGCATGGTTTGAACCATCTTTCTCTGACATTTGTTGTGCATTGCTATGAGTTGATTTGTCAGTATCTTTCTTCCTTATGCTGACCTCTAAATAGGTAGCTTTCACTCTGATATTACAAGAAAGAGCTGTGTCAGTCAGTGTCAAAACATTGCTAGATAAAGTTCCACATGCCAGTGCAAAGTGTTTACTTTATCTACATTTTAACGAATGATCTTCCAAATATATTGGATCTTTTCATCTTCCTAATCAGCCTACTGTTTATAATATTTCATGCCTGAAAGTGCTGGATTCAAGGTCCTTTTAAATATGTTGGTTTTGTAATCAGCCTCAAAGATGTTGAATTCCAAAGTGTTAAGGTAATTATAGCAAGAATTTTGCTTTTTAATTTTTGCAAGTCAAATTATTCTCCTTGATATTTTTTTAGGAAATGGTTGTAAATGCCGTTGTAGCTGAAATGATAAAAAGGAGGAAGTACACAAAAGTTGAATTCGCTCGCAATCATCCTGGAGGGTCTTTGGGAAAACTTTTATGTGACAAAGAAGGGAAACCAATGTAATAAGTAGTCAAATTAGCTATTCGTTTGAGATTTAACCAAAGCTTATTTAACTGCTAATCCAAATCAAAGTGTTTTGTTTCTTTAGCATACAAGTGGTCACATATATACGAATATATTCACCATATTATCTTTTTACGCAGTTACAATATTCCAATGACTAAATTGTATTTGTTACCATTTCTATTTATAAGCACAACAAAAGGTGCCTGTCAATACTGTTTTTAGGGTCTTTAGTGTTTATGAAGAAAAAGCCTTTCATCAAATCAAACTTAGGTTACGTGTGTTAACTATTGTGCTTAGAAAATTAGGCATCAGGACTGTATTCCTGATCAACCTTGATGCTTTAGGCTTTACTTACCAAATGTTGGTACATGTACCTGGTCTAATTCTTATAAATGTAAGAGGTTTGAAAATTGTATGCATAATGTATGCTAGTTAATTTGTTTATGACTTATGTCTTGTTGTCTGTTCAAGAGATCAAATAGAAATTTTAATTGGTAAGAAATTAGATATTTGAATTTTTGTTTATCTCTAAATTTTCACGAGGATTCTGCTTAGATCACCAACAAGCCTGTTTCTACCAAACATGCTGCTTATACCTATCATACTGTGCCTATTTGCTGATCAAGTGTTGAAATAGATCATACTTTTTTGCACAAATATGCTCACTAGACAATACTTTTACTGCTTTACTATTGTAGAATGACTTTACTTCTTCAATTTTTTGTGCAGACCTGCTTAGATAGGTTATAAAGCCATAAAGCCAGTGATGGAGAGAGTGACTAAGTTTAATGTTTAAGTAGCTCTTCTATTCTCCCACACAACAATATCACTTTTTCAAGGTAAATTTCTCAAGCCATGTCAAATTTTACGGGCACAAGCACACAATCTTGTCAACTTTGAACTATGGTTTATAATTGAAGTGTTAGCAATATGCATTTATGACAATAAGAGGCTCAAAAACATGACCACACAAAAAATCCAGAATGTAATTGTGCACCCCCAGTAATGAATGTCTAATGTCAACTTGCTTCTAGAGTTCCAAACTAATTTTCAATCATATTGTCAACATCTTAATAACTTGAAATGTTAAACTTTTTATCGAAAATGAATTTGCTGTTCTGAATCCTAAACTGGGATAAAATTTTGAATAGTTTCAGGACGAGTTTTAGACTGCAGCCTGGCAGGTATGTTCTAGACTACAGTCATCGAGAGTGATCTGTAGTTGCTTTAAGCTACACGTTTTGTTCAATGGTGCATGTTAGTAACATCGCAATAACAAGGGGGGGGGGGTGTCTTGAGCAAGATGAGATATTAGCAATCCTTCTGCATTAGCGAGGGGACTCAGCTCCCCTAGCACTATACCCCTGGTTTTTTGTCAATACAAGGGTGTAGCATCTGCAAACGACCCAAGAATATTTTTCAGCGATGGCACTAATTTTGTGCATTTTAGGTCTCTTCTTTTTGCGCTTTCGAGCGAACGAATGCCTTGCACGAGGCTTGGGCTCCAAATTGGCACCTGCAGATTCTAATAATGATATAACTAAAGCTAAGTACAATGATTTTGTACACAATTGGCAATTTGTTTTTGAAATTTTCGATTAGTATCAAAAATAACTTTGATTTCGATTTGGCGTTTGCTTTTTTGGTCTATAATGTAACACGTATTTAGGTCTTCCCTCTCTTAATTCTTAATTGTTACGTGGAGCTTAGAACACTTTTGTGCATTTAGAGTCAACTGTCACTGGCTGGACCAGTTTTCTATTCGATTAAAGTCGTCCTCAATTGGTTGGCTGGTGCTTGAGTTTTTTCGGTAAAATTTCAAGTCGCCGGCAAATATTTTCGCGGAATTGTTTTCAATGCAATCTGGCAAGTCATTAATAGAACTAAGAAAAAGTAAGGACCCAGGGACGCTACCTTGCTGGACTCCACTTAAAACGTTTGTTTAAAGAGATTTGAATATAGAAATGACTATAATAAAAATAACGTACAGAGTTAACGTACAAACATGTAAAAACCAACACAATCGTGGAAGAAACGGTTAAGTGGCAAAATACGCTCAAACTCAGTACCTCTGTTCATTGCAATTTACACACTACGAGTATTCGTTCCTCGATCTGCAAACGTTTTAGCTTGGGGACCCTCCCCGTGCCCCTTTTCACTACCCTTTATTAATTAGTGGATATCGGTTTAGAAATACGAATGGCATCACACCGGTCGACACACCTTCCTCCTCTTCACTGCGTGACTGTACATTTCTGCCTGAAAAACTGGAAACTGGAAAAAGGAAGGATACAGAATATGACGTCAGGTTGGAAAAGGAAAGGGATCAAAGAAAAGAGGATAGTAGACAAGAGACTGATGCTGGACCGAAATATTATGAAAATAGTCGATAGTGCAAAGAACTTGAATATTGGCAAGAAGATGGGAAACAAAACGAAACCGCCTTGATTAAAACGAGTCGCAAAAGGGTAGAAGACAGGGGCAGTGAGATGCAGATTCCCCCCTCTTCTTCGCCAATCAGAAGAAAATTCATCCAATTTCCGACCAATTTGGCCAATTTTAACTCAACGAAGTTATAATATTCAGGGAAAACACACACTAAGCCCCCCTAAACGTTTATCACCGCTTCACCAATAAGACACCAAAGACGACAGAAACAAATCATTATAAAGATGGTAATAAAAAGGGCGAGCAAGACAATAAACAACTTAGAGATGATGGATATTATGGGAAGTAACGTTGGTAAATACCGAAGACGACGGAACTAGAGGCTCCAATATAAGACCGTCTAATCTAATTCTGTGGTCTAATGACCCGTTTGCTTTCCCGTGTTCCCTAAAAGATGCTCTTGAATGTTCCCTGCAAAAATCTCGAGATCTTGTCAAAAGATTCTACTGATCCCTGTGAAAAATCCCTGTGAAAAAGTGTTTCGAGACAACGAGTTCCCTCGTTCCCTCTGTAAAATAATTGTTTGTTTTATAAGGGAGTTATGGATGATAAAAGAAAAGAAAGAGAGAATGAAAGAAAGAAAGAAATAAAGAGAGAAAGAAAGAGAGAAAGAAAGAAAGACAGGAGTGGTGGCAAGGGAGGGTTTAAGCTTCCCCACCATATTATTTAGCCCCCTCGTCCTCAGACAATCTATTTCTTCACTTGATGGGCTCCATCCAAAAAATTTCCGTGACCGGTTTATGATTTTTTATTTGGACTTCAGCATCTTTAAAGCGTACCGGCGATTAGACGATTACAAGAAAATGAATGCAAAAAAAAATTATTTTTCGTGTCTTTTTCGCTGCATACTATAGTCTTGTACATACGAAGTGACGATCGTATTCAAAACCAAATTAGCCACCTTATAGTAAGCGACACACCTTTATAACTTTCACTTTTACTAGGGAATGGATTTTCTTCGACGGTTTTTCAATATGAGGAAACAAAAACCGTTTAAAATTCAAGATGCTGGAACGAAAATGGGTCGAATTGGTATGACAGCTTCAAGTTTAAAAGAGCTTCGTGAAAAAGTTGCAAATAAATTTGAAATCGATGCCGATTTTAGGCTCGTCCTAGAAGCGGACGGCACTGAGATTGAGGACGAAAGTTATTTTAGCACATTGCCAGAACAAACCGTGCTTGTTGTCTTAAGGCCTGGTCAGTTTTGGGATGGTTGTAAGTGCTGTTTTAATTTCAATGTTTAATAATGTTGAAATTACGGTGGCCCATAACTGCCACGCACTTAAATTAAACTGATTCGCATACAAACAAAACAGCTTCGCGTTGAAACAAACTGATTCACGCTGGCAGGAAAACTAATCCCATTCGCACAAAATTAAAGCGAGTCGCACAGAAAGAAGTCTTATTCACACAAAATTAAAGCGAGTCGCAGAAAGAAAACTGATTCGCACAAATTTCAAGCGAGTTGCACATAAAGAAGCTCGTTTGTAATACTAATAGTTTACTTTTTGTGTTTCGTTATGAAAACCGTTCTTGCAGTTACTGCTTTTTCGTAAAACCTTTAGAGAAATTGGACAGAAGGCACTCTTTTACCTAAGGAGGCACTGATTTGAATTCTTGTAAATAAATCTTATCAGTTTCATGAAATGAAAAGAACAATTCCCTCTAAAACCGAATCAGTTTCTCACAAAGTTATTTGTATGTAAAACGTAATATTTGTGTGTACACTAGAAGTATAAACTCATGTTATAGTGTACATTTGTACATTTGAATGTTTGCTCTTGCCTACCGGAGATCTCGTAGGAAACTGTCTTGTCTTACACTGCAGTTCGGGTAACTAGCTGAGTTTGGACTTCTAGCCTGTCTGCATGTTTCTGTGATCGAATTGAACAATAGTCCTAATAGTCCAAAAATACGTGTTTATTATTCTATTCCACTGATGAGAAAGTGGGTCTTGTCTCTGGAATTCCCGCAGTTTGGGCAAAACATCATCGCTGAACAGAAATTAATTCGATTCAATAAAAAACCTACCCTTTTCCAACGTGTGACCCATTCTTCTTTAAGTGCGACCTCTTTTCTAATTGTGCGACTCATTCTGCTTTATGTGCGATTTGCAGTATTTTATGCGACTGAAACTAAAAATGTGTGACAAGTTTCATTTTTCTGCGAGTCTTTTTTCTTTTTGTGCCACTGCTTGAATTATGTGTGAGTAGTTTTTCTATCAGCAGGAATCACTTTGTTTCAATGCGAACCTGTTTCATTTGTATGTGAATCAGTTTATTTCAGTGAGTGGCAGTTATGGGCCACTGTATGAAATAGCTTGATTTTAATTGTCTTTTTAAGTAGCTTGATTTTAATTATTTCATAGTGGTTTTAGGGCTTAGGCTAAAGACACCAAGGGATCCATAGGGGTCACAGCACCAGACCGTGCCCTTACATTAGGCAGAAGGGGCCTAGCACCTAAGAAAGACAGATGTTGTAAAGAAGAAGGTCCCTGCAGATGTTATGTTTTTGGCCCTGGGTTCTCACAGTCTCTTTGGAGAAAGCAAACATTTTGTAACATATTGTTTAAAAGGTTTCCTGGCTGGCATTCCTAAGAGCATAAAACATCAGAATGAGGGTCTGAAAGAACACAACGAAAAGTATATACCCAGTTGTGGATCGAGATAGGTCAATTGAGATAGGTAACTATAGATCAAAAATTGAATTTTGACATTCACATATCCGAACCTTCTAAAAAGGCAGTAACCCAGCTAAGTGTGCCTAAAAGACTTAAATCTTTCATTGGCTTTGAGCCAGGGTAGAATCCATGTAAAGCCAATACTGGATATCTGCAATAAACAATAGAAAGACAAAGGGAAATCATTAATCCATGCTGGATATATCGGGCGTAAGCTACATGGACTCCACATTGGGCTTTGAGGAGAAAAAAGTTTTGGTCCAAATATTTGTCTTCTCTAACTATAATCTCTGTATTGAAATTTTTAAAACTGCGAAAAGTTCAAATCCTAAATTAATGCAAAATTTGTTAGAACTAAGAACCTATCCTCTTGTCGTCCACAAGACTTGCAGCACTACAGGCCCAACCAAACAACTTTCGGTTCAAACAGCCTCAGGT